TAAACGGTGCAAGAGAGGGTTCAGACAACAGAATGAGCTCAAAAAACACATGAAGACACATACTGGAAGGAAGATTTACCAATGCGAATATTGTGAATACAGCACCACAGATGCATCTGGCTTTAAACGACATGTGATTTCTATACATACAAAAGACTATCCACACAGGTGTGAATTCTGCAAGAAGGGATTCCGAAGGCCATCAGAAAAAAACCAGCATATAATGAGGCACCACAAGGAGACTCTTATATAGTAAGATCACTATAAGGAAGTTATTTACAAAATAAGATGCTATTTGGGAAGAGAATCTGACTGTTTTATCTGGTTTCAAAACTTGATATTAAGTCATACCTTTACATTCTTTGTATTAAAGGTCTTAAAATATTTGGATTTGAAGGGGGATCTCATAGCCCTTTGAAAATTACTTAATGAATTTAAGACACACCATAGGATGGTTGCAGAGAAGCTTAACTGTATTAACAGTATTATATGCATAACTAACCTACAGAGGGGGAAAGTTAAGACACCTTATTTGATTGGTCACACTAGAGATAAGTGTTTTTGAAAGAAGAATACATAATCGATTTAGAAATGCTTTGCTGTAGCAAGCAGCCTCACTTTTATGCAATTTTAGAAATGGGGTGGGCAAAGAAAATGCAGTCATCCATCAGTCACTTAGTCATTGAGCCTTTTATATTGTACCTGGACATTGGATTCCAGAAATGGCAAATGTTTTGTGTATTCATTACAAAGAATCTCACTGAGAAAACAAGTTATATTAATTCAGTACTAGTAAAAAAAGAGAACTTCAGAGTTGCCAGTATTTTATCACAGGATAGGATGTTTAAGACATAGTATTCTGTACTGAAATCTGAAGTGAAATATAAGAAATAAAGTTCCAGTTTTGGTGTTCATGTAGATTCAGTATGGCATATATGATAAAGGTGTATTTGAGTCAAATGTGGCTTTCTAAAATGGGTACAACTATGTTACAAAGTCAGCACTATGTTTCTTATAATCTAAATATTAAATTGAGAGAACAGTTTTCTTAAATATTAAAATATTTAGAATTTTTAGGACAGTTTTAGTAAGTATGACTGTTTAAGTCTTACTTGCTCTAATGTTTAAAGGTGCAATTTTATGCCATTATTGAAAAGTTTGGTTTTTACAATCTATATACCATATTCTTAATATAAATTTTCAATGAGGTGGTATTTATGCAGTATTTAACAGAACAATATGCTGCCAATAGTGTTTGGAGGTGGATATTCAGTTTACAGTGTATAAATTTAAAATATGCATCCCTTTAACAACGCTTTGTGTTAGCATGCTGCAAATCAAAATGGCACTTAATATTAAAAGCTGGTGTAGGGAATTTTAATGAAAATCCTGTTCATAAGTGTAATGCATATGATGTGTACTTTTAAGTTTTAGTTGGCTTAATTTAGTTTATATTCAGCTGTTCAGCATAACTAAAATGTAATTTTTCTTCATGCTATATTGTGGCTTTGTGTTTTAAGTAATATTCACCTTTCTGTTTTGCACCAGATAAGAATCAGTTACTTGAAAACAAATTTTTTATCTTTCTTAACTTCAGAAAACTAAATTTGGAAAATCTACTAAACTTGTGTGTTATGTGGCTGTAAATGATGTACACGCTGTAAAATAAGATTGTTACTGTTATGTGGACTTATTATTTCTAAATGTTACTCATTGAAATGAGCATACAATAAAAAGCATTTATTGCACTTCAAAGTTTTCTAAGTTTATTTAAAGTTGTGTTATAATGGCATTTCTTTATTAAAGAATTCTCACTTAAACTTTCTCTTCGGCAGTTTGATCTTTTAAAAGTATCTTGTTCAATTTTGTGTACTAATTAACATGAGTTAGGGTTAATAGTTAATGAATGTAGCATGTTTAGCCTTCAAAAATAGGTGTTATTTGATGAAATCATGATGAAATGCTTTAAATAAAAGTACTCATTTTAAGACCTGAGATTGACTATAAGAAAGGAAACTAAAAATTCTTAAGTGTTTACATGATCTAGTTCTGAGAAATGAGTATATCTAGTAATTTTCCCAATATACATTCAGAAGACAAATCATTGATTTAATCATTTGGGAATTACTTCTTAAAATAAGCATACACTAATGTGCTATTCTCCAGTAGTTATTATTTAACAGAATTCATATTGATTTTATATATATATATATAATATCACTATAAGTTAAAATTCTGCCAACTGAGTAATTTCTTTAAAGCCCATTAGCAGCAGGAGAAATCTGTTAACTTTGTGTATTAGACCAGTACCCCGCAAATCCAGTAATTCACACGTTCACATAGGGATCTTATTGAAATGCACATTCAAATTCAATTGTAGTGACTGCAGTTTTATATTTCTAGCAAGTTCGCCTGTGTTGTCATCCTGTGAGTACTAAACTGTTACACTAAAAGCATCAGTGTAATTCTAGAATATACTTCTGTGCTCTTGCTTAAATAACTGGGTAAGTGGATAAAGAGAACCCATATTGAGGACATGCCATTAAGAGCAAGAAAAAGAAACTTGTAAATACAAATAATCTGATATGAAGTAAACTGACAAACAATGGTGAGCAAGTAGGACTGATAAAGAGATGGGACCTGTGAGAAATTTCTGATAGGAAACCACTGTGGGTTTGAAAGAACGGGCACAGTTTTCTTTCTTTTTTTTCCCCCTTTAGTTTATATTTGAGGAACATTTTGGAGACTATAAGAACTATATCACAGAGTTGCTGAGGGAAGCAAGGTGCCATATAAAGAGATTGTTCATGATTAAAGTGGAACTAAAAAAAATAGATCTGTTATAAATTGTCCCTTAAAAGCTTCAGTCCAGACAGCATCAAAATTCAGCTCACATTACAAATTAAAGGTAGTCATTTAAAGAACAAGTTTGCTTGGCACAGGACTGCCCTGTGTGCCTATATGGAAATTACTGAAAAGTCCTTTTTACAGAATAGTTCATAGCCATCATGTGCTGATGGATTTGTTCAACTACTTTTAGTGTTCAACTACTTTAAAATGATCTACGACACAAAATATCAGGAATTTCTTCCCAGATAGAGTTCTAAGAATCAACTCATGTCTCAAGCAGGATAACCACCAATATCAATCTTTCACTGCTCTTAAAAAGATTTTTTTATACACACAAATTCAGGAATAAAATTAACTTCTATGCACGCATTACGAATCTTCAATGATTAATGTTACATTACAAAGTTTGTTTCATTTATATTCTTTTTATTCACTTAACGTTAATTGGTTATTTGATGCCTCCCTCCCCCAGTGGTTTAATTTGAAGGGAACCCCAGAAACTGTTTAAAGAATTTTTGGTAGATGATAGAATTTGCTCATTTATGAAGGCAGAGGAACCATAGAATCATAGCCAACTAAACCTGGGACTCTATCCAATTAAGTTTTTTTCTTAATTTTTGAATTACTGTTTGTTTAGAAGAACATGCTCGTATAGGGTTATGTTATAACTATAGAATATCATTAGTTTAAAGAATCTTATTTCTCAACTTGGTGTAGATAAACTCTACCCTTCTAAAGCATTATGTTGTACACTTGAAACCTATTAGAGTGGTTACATACAAACTCTGATCCTAGGTGCCTGCCTATTCCAGCTATTATGCCTTTATATTTGTACATTTTTCAAGTAACTACCCCAAAGAGAATTGTGTTTTTTTAAAAAACCTGACCCAATTGACAGTATTAATACTGCCTCATGCATTCCTTAATGTCTTAAGTCACCTTCCATCTGATTTACAATCTCTGTCATCCTAGGAACAGATATTTTCCTCAGTATGACTGTCTCACTAGACTCCTTTAGGAAACTACATAAAATATGTATATATTGGCTCATTTAAATAAATTGGTTTTACTGGGTCGTGATTCACACAAACAGTATTCAACACTGATGGTATTAGCAAAGTATATAACTAAAGCATTTTGTTTTAAAATCTGCCCCTTAAAGGATTTCTGTAGCATGTATGTCAAATAAAAACACTGCTGGGATGGGAAATCAAAGTTTACAAACACAATTTTTTTTTTTTTGAGAAAGAGTTTCTCTGTGGCTGTCTTGGAACTTACTTTGCATACCAGGCTGGTCTCAAACTCAAAGATCCACCTGCTCTACTTCCTGAGTGGCATGCTGGGATTGAAGGTGTGTGCCACCACGATCAGCTTTGTATAAACACATTCTTTATAAGATAAAGATATTGTACTTTTGTCACATAACAATTCCATTATTAATTTGTATAATAAAAGGAGCTAGGTTTTATTCTGGAGTAAATATTAGGTATTTTTATTAATAAAAGATATGCTTACTATAGTCTTTACTGAAATACCTTGTTTACTATTTATCCTAGAGTAAGTATTGAATACTATGTGTTTTTCAGTTAAACAAACAAACAAAAATCCCACAAAATAAAGTACATTTTGTAATGGTGTGTCATGGTGAAGATGGGTGATTTGAGGAAATTATTTGAAAATAGTTACTTTGAAAAGAATTTCTGTTTTCCAAATAAGTGTAATCTTTATGAATTACAATGAAAAAGAAATGCAAAGAGATTTTTGTTAAATTGATGTAAATTTGATGGTTAAATTTTTTTTTACAAAAATTCCCCTCCTTTTTATAGTGTTCAAGTTCGAAAAAAAATAATATGGCTAAAGCACCAGTATAAAGATGGGAAGAAATGTCTTAGCAAACCATGTTTTGGCTTAGAAAATAAATTTGTAAGCAAAGGTATTATGATATTGTACTTTGCATCAGTTGGTTGACAAACTTTTGTTAAACTTCCACCTTTAGTAGGCAACATCAAAAAGTTTTTTGTTTTCATTTTACAGTATTGCCTGTAAAATGTATAAACATTCGAATGATAAAAACTTCCTGCCAATATATGAAGATAAGTTAAAAATCGTTCCTATACATCTCCAATTTGAAGTTCCACAAAGACCATATAGATGCTTAACATCTTTTTATTTAGACATATACACAAATTTGCATGCCAGACTTTAGTCTTCATTTTATTTGACAAATCTGAAGTGAAAACATAGAAATAGAAATGAGATAAACAGGAATCCTCACCTGACATCAATGAGAAACTTCATGTAATTGGTGAAAGGAAAATATATCAATTTAGTTCATCTTAATTCTATTGGTTTTATTTTCAAATACAGAGAAAATCTCTCTGCCATTAAGTTTTGTAAGAGGGTTTTTTTTTTTAAAAAAAAGTTGGTAACTAGAATGAGAAACTTTTAGATGACTCTAACACACCATCCTTGATCAAATGGGCTGTCATCTTAATTGCTCTATAATTTTGGATATGAATAGTTTTTAGTAGTTTTGAAACAGTCTTACTTAGTCTCATTTTCAAACTAATTATGCCAGCTTTCTGCCAAGGTAATTAAAACGTCCTCTTACAACATCTTTAATGGATAGATAGCATACTACACTTTTGCCACAGTTACATATATGAGTCGCTAACAGAGGAAAAACATCTTTTCATAAAATAGAGTATCACTGTATTGATAAAACAAATTATATTCATGTTTCAGAACTTAATGTCTAGCTCAAATGTTATGATAATATAAATAAGACTCTTAATTTCATATCAAGACTTTAAATATTTCTCAGCCATAAGTCCAGTTGGTATAGTGCCACAGCCATGCCTATCTTAACTGCTTCTTAGTATAATGAGTAATTTTTAGAATATGCCTATAAACTGAAAATTTTTATAAAGGTTTCTGTAAATATTTTAGTACAAATCTATGTACTAGACATGTAACCTGAATATATTTGTTACATTAATTTTAACTTTGATGAAAAAATTTGTACGTTTTAATTAGGTTATACTATGAAATTTATTATTGTAATTTATTTAACAAATACTTGTATCTACCTTGTAAAGTCATTACAGTTCAACTAAGAAACTTCTAAATACATTAAAGACTCTACTATAAAATATTATTCAAGTAAGATAGTTATCAAATATTTTTTGTTATACTTAAGTTTTTATGATTATGCAATATTTCAACGTTATAGCTATATCACTATGAAAACTTCTACATTCTTATTGCCCCACTACTACAGTATAGTACTATATGTTTTTAAGAACGTGAATGGGATTACTTGCAGAAAACATGTTTTGAAAGAACAGATTTTTCCCAGATACTAATATGTACTTAGAATAAGTTTCACAATGTATAATTTAATTAATGTAGTTATTTTAAAAGACATTAGCCCGTTTCCTTGATTAACAACATTAACCTCCACCTCTGACTTAGCTATTTCCAAGGCATATTAGCATTTTCACACTCTTGTTTAGTTACAAGCTCAATATGAGAAATGTACATTTAGGCTGTTTAGTTCATGCTCTAGTTAACCTATTTTTTAATTTAATTGTTTTTTGCCTCTGTTTTCTGAAAAATAGCATTGTATCTTGTAGCTAAACTGCACATTTAACATAATAGAATAACTTGTAAAGAAAATATCCTTATGAATAAGTTCAACATATATGAAGCACCCTATACAAAAGTAGCAGGTTAGGTTCTACAATGTCTGCAACAAGAGTTGAAACAAAGTTTTTTTTTCCTATTTGTACGGTGTTGTGTTAAATATTTCAATGTGCACAAAAGGATTCAGGTCTCCTAAATGGCTGGGGGACCTCATCTTCATAATTAAATCATCCCATTAGATTGATTGGGATAGGACCATGGTTCACAATTTGATTGTGCTTTAGCAATAGAAAAATAACTATTAAAATACTGATGCAGACAGAAAATTTCCTTTGAATTGTAGTCCTGCAAAGTGGATCCATTCATGGCTAGAAAAGAAAAAAAATGTATCTTAAAATCGGTTCACAATTATTTTAAAACATTCCCATTATTACATGTACATAGTTCCCAAAATTATTCAGTTGGGTATGTATACTGCTAATAGAATATAGTCTTTTATATAATGCTCAATAAAATTATAATCTCTCTGACTTAAAGCATGTGTTTTAAATGTCTGTAAGCTAGAAGAAGGGAGATCGGTTGTATTTTCTTCTTATTGTCATATTTAGAGGTTAAGTATATGCTGAAACATCTCTGATAATAAAGATCTATCATCTGTGAACTTACATAAACAAATTCTTCTATATCCCTTTCAGACCTTAACTATTTCATTGGTGACACAGAAATGGCTACTACACTAGACTCTTTATTTCACAGGTTCTCACTCTGTTGTCACCTCTGAGGCACATGTAGTTAGTCTAGCAATTGTTTCTAAGTTTTAACTTTCGACATCAAATTATCCTTAAATGAAAATTATGTGCCCTGTGCAGACCACTTTTGTTATTGACTGGTTTTTGAGTCATCAAATTCTCTTTATCACTTGATAGTAACAGTTCTCAATTAGTTAATGACCTAAAAAAATGACTTTGAAAGATTAAACTTTGCATGTATTTTTATTTTTGCTGGAGGTTTACTAAATATTGCCTACTTGCACTGGTAACTTAAAAGATTGGTGCTTTCGTACTGTGTGAAAGACCATTAGAACTACAATCATCATGACTTTTTTTATTATTACTGCAGTATTTGGGCTTATTTGATCATAAGATATATATTTTAGTGCATTATTTAACAACTTTTTAGTGCATTATTTAACAACTTTTAATTTTAGTAACAGCATAAGAGAAGTATTATTTTAAGACTTAAAATTTATTGTTTGTCATTACATAGTTATACATATATATAATTAAGAAAAACTCCAGAGCTCTTTTTTAATATTAGCAAGTTTGCTGAAGCTCAGCACTTTTAAAATTTGGGGATAGAAAATTCTTTTGTAACGGAGTGGTCCTGCACACCATAGGTGGCATGGGAGCATCTGTGGTCTATACCCAGTAGATACCAATATAGTTAAACACTAATGAAAACTGAAACTGTCTAAAGATACTAAGTGCTCTGGAGTTGAGACGTGGATGTCACTGGAGAGAACCACTGTGCTAGGGAATGTCTGTTTCCTCTTTGACAACCACTACTATGAAGACTAACAAAGAAAGCAGTAAAAGTCTTAAGAAAGTAGCTGTCATCTATTTATTAGAAAGAGATTTTAAAAATAATCACCCCCTTAACAATGGCTTGAATTGATATCTATGTTGTCTGGTTATATTGAAGGGAGTTATAGAAAATAAATATTCATGTCATTTGCATGGTTATTCAGTCTTACATTAAACTCCAGAATTTAAAGCTGGAGGATCTTATGATCTAGAGAGAAAGCAAACACAACTATCTTTTCAAATTTTAAAGCCATAAAAGTTAATAAGTATTCACATTGAAGATTACAAGACAAATTCTATTGATACATGACATTCATGCTCCATTACCTTTCAAGTTGTGTACTGCATTTGATACTTTACCTAAGTTTTGAAATCTGTAAATATATAATTAATTAAAACAGCCTAGAAATGCCCAAATAAACTTACATGAGTCCATTTATCTTCAGTTTTCTCAATCACGATAGTCTGTGTGTCACTTCCTGGTGGTATATATTCATAGTCATCGTACAGGAGACCAAGGATTGGATATTGTGTCCTGTACCTATACATGAAAAGCAGGTATACTTATTACAAAATAACTGTCATTTGTAGCCACTCCTATTTCCAGTCCCCTCTTCAAATCAATGTATCCTTGAATGACTTTTTACTAATTTCAAATGAAATGCTCTCTCAAATATAAAAGAAAAACTGTCACTATTTTTATGTTTAATAAAGGCGAGAAACTTTGCCACTGTCCATGTTGGATCATTGTTAGCATAGGATAATGATACAGAGAAAAGATAAAATAAAATAAGAACCATAAGTAAGGAGCTCACTCCTTAGACAGTTTTTTATGTTTACAGGATAGAAAAAAGAAAAACAAATGGATTTCAGAAATCTTATCAAGTTAAAGTGACACAGCAATGTATGCCGCTGCCCTATCTTGTGGGGCAGACCTCTCTAGTGCTATTCTATACATAGAAAAAAAGCAGTATTATGCTCCACCTCTCACTATGACAGTTCCAAATACTTCTTGTCAAATATGTTCCAAAATACTAGATAAAAATTCCAACATGGAATAATTCTTAAATTATAAATATTGCACCATTCTTAGTAGGGTAATAAAATCTTGTTCTGTTGTACCTTGTTCTCCATGTGAACTATTGCTTTACCTAATATATCCATGCCATAAATGCTACTCACTTACAGTAACTCAGCTTTCTTTATTACCAGATCAACCAGTGATACCACACATCACCATTTTATTTTCCTAAAGCACAAGGTTAGTGATGTTGAATATTCAGATATAAACATTCTTTAAGCGACTAGGTAAAACATCTGTGTTCAATAAAGGAAATATTATATGCTGATATTGATAATATCTGCTTTTAAAATAAAACAAGAAAATACAAAGTTTATATAAGGGTTTATACTTTCCAGGGTGTCAAATATGCAGTGTAATTAGGAACATATACCTGTCACATAAAGGGTTACTATTCCCACTTTGAATAATGTAGGCAAGATAAAGACTGCTTTCCAACTTATAAAGCTGATGAATTGTTTGCTAGAAGAGCAGCACAAAAATGCAGGCAGAGAAAAGGTGATACTGGATAAAAATTTGGACCCAGGATAAAGAATTAATAGAATCAGAAAAGACAATTATGTAGAGAAATCTAAAATAATTATTTTGTTATTCTCAACATGTTTTAAAAGTTAGTTAACTTTTAAAAGTAAGTTTTTTCATTATGTATATGAGAAAGTACATATGGTAAAAAAAAGATCATAAAGAAGAGATAGAAATATGCTTCATAAAATAGAGTATAATACTGTTTGAAGGTAGATTGATAGGCTAAATAATGCTATTTATTATAAACTATAAAGTAATGAAAATAAATACACATAATAAACAAATAATATATATGATATATAATCATGAAAAATTCTAAATAAAAGATAGAAAAAGAAGGAACAATAAGAATATTGAACAAACAGCAAGCATCTAACAAGATGGTAGATTTAAACACACATTGTAAATAGTTGCAGTAAGTATAAGGGTTTTTAATATGCTTTCTAACCATAAATTGTTCAATTATATGAAGAACCAGCTAGTTGTGCTATTTAAAAATAAGCAAACAAAAAGTAATTCTCTAAATTTAAAAAAAGCATTAGAAAAAAACAATTACATTATATATTATATAGCAGAAAATTCTGCTATAATGTAGGTAAGTTTTTGAAAAGCGAATGTGGTTGCTAATCTGTAGCACTACTAGGAAGTGACATGACTTTTAGGAGATGAGGTCAAGTGAAAATAACTGAGATCATTGGAAGTATGCATAGCAGATGTTGAAATCATAGCCGGGACTCTCATCTTCCTCACTTCTTGACTGTCATGTGATAAACAGCTACTTCTGTCATGTGTTCACTGCTAAGAAGTTGTGTCTTACCATAGGCTAAATAAAGGCAGTGAGACTAAACAACCATGGACTGAAACTTCTGTGTGGGTGGCTTGAATGAGCTATCTCCCACAATCTCAGAAATTTGAATGTCTGATCCCTAGTTGGTAGAGTTGTCTGGGGACATTTAGGAGGTCTGGCCTTGGAGGAAATATGTAATTGGAACCAGTCTTTGAGAGTTTAAAGACTTTTGCAAGAGCGCATTACACCAAAGGCCAGAACATTAGCTAACCCTTTCTTCTGAGCTTGATGTCCAGAGTTCAATCATCACAATGTACTTGATGGAATAGGAAAATCAAGTTCCACAAGTGGTCCTGTAATCAACATATGTGTACCGTGGCATCCATATTCAAAATAAATAAAGGCATTTTAAAAAGAAATTTTGTAGGAAATTTCAAAAGTCATTACAAAAATAATACACAAACATAACCAAATAATAGAATTTAAAACTACATGAACTAAAACTGGGCAGAAATGAACATGGTTTCAGTAAACGCTTTCTACACATAATAGACTGGACAGTATGTGAACATGGAAATAGGCTTGAATAACACTTTACTACCACGCCTAGAAGATATCAATAATATTTTCTATCTAAAATGAATTAAAATATGTGTTTTAATATATATGGAATTTTGTGTGGAATAGACTAAATGAGTCAACAACTTTAAGAACAGTATATGTTCCAGTTAAAATGAAGTGAAAACAGAAATATAAGTGAATACCTTCAGAAATTCACAAATATTTGTAAGTTAAGTGATATTTTTAAACAATTAATAAAGCAAGGCTCAAGAAAAATATTAGTTATATTGCCTCTTTTATAAGAAAAGAGCGATCTCAATCACATAGGCTTGTATCTTAGAAACCATTTTTAAAAATGTAAACACACACACAGCCTAGTATAAAATAAAATTTTAACCCGGCAGTGGTGGCACATGCCTTTAATCCAGGCACTCAGAAGGCCGAAGCAGGTGGATCTCTGTGAATTCAAGACCAGCCTGGTCTACAAGAGCAAGATCCAGGATGGGCTTGAAAGCTATAGAGAAAACCTGTATCAAAAGTCCAAAAAATAAAGATTAAATTGGAGATAAACAGAGATCACTGAAATCAAAATTATTTCTTAATTATTAACATTGATTGACCAAAAAAAAGAGAAAGGCCTCAAATTGGTAAAATTGCACAGGTAAAATGGAAGGTCACTATTATTGACTTTGAAGAAAGAAAGAAAACCATGGATCTGGGAAAGGAATTTGTAGGGAAAAGGGATAGATGAGAGATGAGGGAAATAAGAGACAAAAGGAAATGAGAATAGATAGAGTACATTGTGTACCTGTATGAAATTGTTAAAGAACAAATTTAATCAATAAAAATAAGTATTATAAATGAAAAGCAAAATGTTGATATGGATTGAACAAGAAAAAGGAAAGAACTCAAATTACTAAAATAATATAAGGAAAAGGGAAAATCATTATTACTGACTTTGAAAAAATAAAAATCATAACAGAAATTCTATGAAAATCTCTATGTTGAAAGACTACATAGCATAACAGATGAAATGTATAATACCAAGGGTAAATCTCACAGGAACAAACAGAAAAACTATAAAAAACGAAGCAAGCAGAAACTAACTTCCCATAAAGGAAAAACAACCCTCAAATATTTGCAACTAGTATAGTGTATCAGGAACTTAAAAAACTAATGATTGTCCTTGGAATTTCTCCAAAAGATTTAGGTTAAGCACACACACACACACACACACACACACACACACACACACACACAATTTTGATTTAATTTTCTAAAGTAAGTTGTAACCTGCTACCATAACAAGAAATATATCACAAGAGTAAATGAAAAAAAAAACAGATCAATATCATTTGGGAATGCAGAAGTAAAAATTCTCGACAAAATGCTAGTAAATCAAATCTAATAACACACAAAATAATTGTGTAATGTGAAAAAGAGCATTTGATTCAAACAATATGAGATTGTAATGTCTTAGAAATCATTTAATGTCATATATTATTTACAGAACCATGCATACACTCTTTTGATCATCTAATATAAATTTTCTAGCACCGTCATAACTTGAAAAAGAACTTATGAAGAACAGAAGTGAACAACTTCAATTAGATAAAAACTCACTGTTAACATAATATTTTAAAAGTACTGAGTAAATTTCACCCACCCACTAACCAAGAACAGTAAAATGAAAAAGTTCCTTTTCTTATTTCTATTTAACATTGTATTGGAGGTATTAAGGCAATTTAAAAAAGAAATAAAATGTACCTAGAATAAAAATGAAGAAATTATTTGCAAATGAAATGATCTCATAAGATAATTTTGATGAATTCAGTAAAAAAATTATATCTTTAATCTTGAGGAATATAAAATGAATACACACACTACCAACTGTGATCCTATACCCTTATAATGAGTGATATGAAAATAAAGTTAAGAAAACAATTCTAGGAGTTGGAGAGATGGTTCGGAGGTTCAGAGCACTGGCTGCTCTTTCAGAGGACTCTGGCTTAATTTCCGACACCCATATGATGGCTAAAAACCATCTGTGACCTGGTTGTGGGAGATTCAATGCCCTCTTCTGGACTTCCCATTCACCCAGATATGTATACAGGATACAGACACACATGCAGGCAAAACACCATACACATGAATTTTTTTTCCCTTAAGAAAGAAAATAATTGTGCTAACAATAACATGAAAACAAAACCCTGATACTTCGGAATAAATGTAGCAAAGAAGTTTAAGATTTATATAGTATAAGATTCTTTAAAGGAAATATACTGAAAATATCATAAAATGCTTAGGACAGAACAAAGCAAAGAATGTAAGATTTATAATTTGAAAACTACAAATTATTTTCTCATTAACTGAAAGACAACTGGGTATGGTGGTGTACACCTTTAATCCCAGCAGTTGGGAGACAGAGGCAGGTACATTTCTGTGGTTTGGAGGCCGGCCTGGTCAACCAAGAGTTATACGCCAACCAGGTATGGGGGCTTAAATGGGGATGCCCCTCATGGGATCATACTTGTGAATGTTTGGTCCCTAATTAGTGGAACTGTCTTGGGAAGGATTAGAAAGTGTA